TTTTAATAAGCCAGAATTGCATTTAATTTTTCAAGTCTGACTTTTCATATCCATCAGTGGCCAAAAGTAGGTGCTGTGAATTCATCATATTGAACAGTGAAGCATTTCCGTTTTCCAGTAGATTAACTTTCTCTTTCTGGCATAAACCTGCTTTTCATGAATATACTTTCTACTTGTGGCAGAAAACTTATTACTAGTATTGTTACTATTATTAAGCTGTTAGAGCCATCTGTTTATGGAGTAGAACACGTCTGTAACAATGTGATACAGTTAATATCATGACCATTTTACCTTGCTAATTCTGTCTTATTTCTGTCTTCCAATTTTTCTCTCTCTTCCCCCCCCCCCCAGTTAAGAGGTCTTGGGCAGGGACTGTCTTCAGCTGTATTAACATCATTTAGCATAGTGCACATGACTGCAAACTTTAGGGTTTACTTGTTTTTTCAGATACTGATGTCAATGGGAAATGACTGCCTGTGGTGATTATACGTAATATTGGCTTTTATATATCATACTTTTTTTTTTTTTTTTTTTTTTTGAATTAAATTCTTATTAGTACCCTAAGAGGCTTATGGCACTTTGAATTGATTTCATCAGGCTCTCTCATAGTGAGTACAAACCTGAGGAGGTCTTTGGACAGCTTTGCTGCTGCACTTGGCAGACATTAAAATAATGTCTCAATGGGTGCTTTATATAGGAAGGCACTTCTCTTTGGAAAAGCACATTAAATGTTTTTCTTTCCATGGTTTTCATAATAGGTCATGAGCATGATAATTTTGTGTTCACAAGGTGGAGGATTAATTTATCAAAAAATAAGTAATTTAATTAATTGTTATGTGATCAGATATAGCTTTTTATGTCTAGTTCCCCATTGCTGCAGCAGCTAATTACAGGAAGGGCACAGTTCCATGTACTGCAGTTGAGGCTGGCTTGTTTTGTTCTTTAGTTGAAAGTTGTTCCTTAACTGTGCTGTAGATGAAAAAGGAGTTTCCTCTGTTTTCATCTTGTGATTAATTTCAGCTGTTTTCTTTGAAGTGTTGTTCAAATGCTTCTCATCATGCCAAAAGAATAACTATCTTGGTGGGAAATGGGAGGGAGAGAGGATGGAGGGAATATTGGGTCCCCTTTGCTTGTGTTGTGGCCCACTTGGCTCTTTGGACATAAGGGTAGGGCTGGGAAATGCTGGGTTAAAGCTTGTGCATACCATTGCTGGGCCTGTTCTTGGAGTCCTGGGTCTCATTCACCAGAATATAGCTGAAACAGCTGCTTGGGATACAGTTAGCTTTAAAAGAGGCTTATATGCGCCCTTTGTTCAAGAAAGGGACAACTCGACATTGATAGCCTAGTGAAGGGTCGACTTGTTTCTAGCTGTGATATTCATCTACCTGAGATCTTGCTAATGGGGTAATGCAGAAAGACCATCCTTGGTTCCTGTGATTAGCCTTAATGGTGAAACAGGACGCCTTACCAGATAGCTACTCCGAAAATGCGAAGAGCAGGTGCTTAGTCATGTGTTAGCACACGACTGACTGTATTGCAGGAATATCAGTGCTCTAGGAAGTACCAAACAACTGGTTGATGTTTCACCAAAAATCCAACCTTGAGCACTGTCACTGGATTCTCCACTGTGTTGCGTTAGATTTAGTCTGTTATGTAGACCAGCAAAATTAAGATAACTTCTCACCTGAGAACACTTTATATTTGCTTCTTACAGCTGTAAATGACTACATGAATTGGGAGGCAGAGGGAAAAGATGTTTTATTTTCCTCTGTGTTTTGTCAATATGAGAAAAATAAAAGACTAGAGACTGAAATCAAGGACTTTAAAGTCAGAAGATACTTTTTTTCCAAGATGGGTTTTCAAAGAAGGCATACCTATAGCCCATACTGAATTTGCTGGGCACTCTAGGTGTTTTAGGATAAAGCCAAGTTTGCAGATCTATTACTAAGCAATGAGTAATGGTGGCATATGATGAGATAAGGAATTTTGATTTCCTGACTTCACTGAAGTGTTTTAGCACTGTGAACAGTGACTGGAACAAATGGGCAAGATGTAACTTATGTATGGAAAGAATTTGTACCCTTTGCTGCTTCTCCATCAAGGATTCTACATATTTGTATTTTAGAAACAGACCAAACCTTTTTACAAAAGCAAGATTCAAGGTTTGAAAATTTGGGGGCTGATTGGTTTTGTTGTTTTTATTTGGGGTTTTTTTTTGGTTTTGTGTTTTCTTTTGTTTTGTGGGTTGTTTGGTTGTTGGTGTTTGTTTTTTGTTTGTTTTTTTTTTTGAGGACATATGGATAGTGTAATAGTAAAAGATCCAGGACAGTAATTTCTCAGTTGCGTAATTGTTAGCCCATAGTTACTATTATTGCCATTCATTTATCCTTAAAATATTTCTGGAAATGATAAGAAGAATTTGGTTTGGTTTCCGATAGGTTTATTCTTTCCCATATACTTGTAAGCTTTTATTTGTGAAATAACGTGTTTTCTCTAAGCTTTGTATTTGCTTGTCAGTAATGGGGTTTGGCGGAAATTATGGTACTAGCACAGTTGTGCTAGGGTCGTTACTCTAACTCTTTAGTGTTGCAGCTGCAAAAGAAAACACATTTGCTAGAATGAAATCTACACCATGCTCTTGCAGTCCTGTGAAGAGTCAAACAAACATGTTAAACAGCTGTAGCTCCGTTTGCCAAGAATCTTCTGGAATTCTGAGATCTGAGCTTCTGTATGAAATCAGAATATTGTTGTTTCTTGAGGAATACTCGTGTAGGAAAGACATCAGCCAGCTAATAATTGTGGATATTCTTTGAATTGATAGCTTGCTTGTACATTGAGGTAGCTAATATGCTGTAAACTCCCACTGGACTGTTGGGCAGATATTGTAGACACTTAAGCTAGTGGAAGAAGCTCACTGCTGTGCTTTCAAATACTGAGCTAGCCACTGCACCAAAACACAAAGAAATGATACTTGAGCTTTTATCCCAAATATTTGTTTGGGACGCTTCTCAGCCTATTTCATCTGCCATCACTATGAGCAGCCAGGAGATTTGTGAGTGCTTTTCACAGTCTGATTGTGGACAGTCACTGCTTGCATGTCCACTCAGACCTGCTATATAATATGCAGGTCATTTGATCTGGTTTCTTGTTTGGGACGTGAAAGGGGAAATGCAGCCAGACAGAAAGAACTGTTGGATGAAAAGGTCATAACTGCTTGATCTTAGATGATGATTTTAGCTTGCACCGCAAACCTACTGACCTTCCTTCTCTTTGTAATTTTATCGTAAGACTTTACAGAGAGTCATCCACCAAGGCCTTTGTCATACATGAGAACGAAGCCAAGAAGAGTGTTGAAAAAAGCCAGTGTAATGAGTGGTGAGAAAAAGCTTTTGTGAGAACATGGGAGAAGAGGTGGTAAAATATGGGAACATAGAGGAAGAGAGGCAAAACTGAATTGTTACACAGTATGGAAAAATGGACTGCTGAACTGTACTTAAAAGGAAAGTAGGAGGAAAACCCACAAGAACTGATATTTTTGAAAAATGAACATTCTGTACCATATAGCTTTTCATGTCATATACTATGAAGAAAGTAATTAATACAATGAAGTATTAGGCACCCTTACTTTGTTCAGAATGTAATTATAGGAAGCCTCAAACAAATGGGCTGTTGGAGTTAAGCTGTCAAATCTTCAGTATTCCAGCTGGGATCACTTGCTGGATATTTGGACTCCTTGTGTCCTCATCACTTCAGAAATGGGAGAGAGGAAAGCACAGCACCCAAGTTCTCATTTGGTCAGCAAACTTAGGAATGAAGTTGCTCCATTTAGCACTTAAATTCTATGTTAGTTGCAACATCTGTGTTTTTGTAAGGTATTTAAAACATCCTTTCATTACTGTTTTGCAACAAAGAGCAGCATGACAGCTCTGTCTCAATACTGTGCAAAACAAAAGCGATCACAAAGCCTTGTTTCATATTTTAGAAACAAATTAAATGTACAGATGCCACTGAATGCAGAACGATGAAAAGCATAAGGGCTGGGTGATTGTACGGCCATATTGCTGGGAGTACCTGCCCAGCTGCTTGTTGCTTCAGCCCTCCTGTGCCCATTCATGAGCTAGGAGAGTTTTGTGTCCCATGGTCATTTTCATCCATGTTTTTATGTAACTGCTCCCGTTTCAGATGATTTCTGGCAGTATGTCCTGGACAATGAACTCCACAACTAAACTGTGTTTTGTGGAAATATATTACCTTTTTCTTGCTCGTACAGTCTGCCCGACGCTTTTGTGTGATGCTCCCCAGTTCTTGTATTAGAAGAGAAAATGGATAACTGTTCCTTATGCACCTGCTCTGTCATACACTGTCTCAGCCAGCTCTTTTCCAAGCTAACAAGCCCTGTGTAACCATTCACCTATTGAAAGATCTTCCTCATCTGCCTTGTCCCTGCCTCTGTGGCCTTGACCAACTGTTCAATTACAGGCTGTCACTTTTGTCCCACTCTTTCTCTGCACTGTGAGGCAGGACTTTATATGTGACTAGTAAACTTTATACATTTTTGTTGGTTTTGACTTGTCTTGCTCATTTGAATTAGTTAACATTTTTGTGAGTCAGCTTGGTCAGTGATTATCACCCTTTTTCTACCTGGGATTCAAAAGCCACCCTTCCTGAGGTATTCCAAATCCTTCAGGACAGTATGAGCAAGTTCATTTCTGGCAGTGCTTGCCAATTCACAGGTGTCTTCATGTAGGAGGATCATGATGGGCAAGATAAGGGTGGTAGACAGGAGGCAGGAAACAGAGTAAGGCAAAAGACTTTATTGGTCAAGCTTTTATTTTTTTTTTTTTTTTCTTCACTCATGCCATGCATCTGTCCTAAAGGATATTGGGGAAGGGGTGAGGACTAGCAGTATATTGTAAAGAGGTTAAGTTTGCCACATTGTCTGCCTTTCCTGTCTTTTGCAACATTCGTGTTCCTGTGCTGTATATTCTTTCATTTCTCAGTGTGTGGGTTGCTGTTCCATGATGTCTTCTGGCTCCCAAACTCTGAATGACTCACCATGTGTTGCAAAAGATTGAGACAGGTGATGTACTGGTTTACCTTTCCTAGGGAGTAACTGGAAAGTATAGACAAGATGAAGGTCTGTTTGGTTTGGTTTGTTTTTTTTTTTACGGTGTTAAAACAGATGGTTTGCATGGAGTTTAAAATATCACGTCACTGCCTAATCTCTTTTTTCTTTTAAGGTGGCTGGTAAAAAAAGTCAGCTAAGGGTAACTGAAATATCTTAAATAATGCTGTGATAAATTGTCCCTTCTTTGTTATTGACTTAAGCTTCAGTAGCTACAGAAGGAGCTGGTAGAGAGCATGCAAAACTTAAGGATGGCAAAAAGCTAGTTGATGTTGTTGGCACATGCAACACATTGTAACATGGTGAAGGCTACTTGAGATAAAGCTTCATGGTGACTTAAATGGCTGCACATGTCAGTAAGAGGGAAAGAAACTTTTTAGCAAGAATTTATTCTGAAGCAGAAGGGTGTATCCTTACCTATTGTAGGGGGGAAGCCTTAATAGTAGATGAGGACATAAGTTGAGTGGGTCATTGATTCTTTAATAGTGAGCAGACCCTACATGCTGTGTCCTTTGTTAGGGCAGATATCTTGACGTAAACATGGGAAGATCTAGTACTTGCAAGAGTTACTATTTATATGTCTATATATGTATAATGCAAGCATTCAAAACTATGAAAACTTCAAAAATTAGGCATATTGGTATATTGATTTTGCTAATGGAGGAGTTTTATGCTGCTCTGCACAGGGAGGAGAAACTTGGTTTAGCTCAAAAAGCTAAAAACAGGGAAGGGTGAAAGCTCATTACCAAAACTATTACTTCAGAAATACTATGGATACAAAATGGTCCCTTCTCTGTTTTCTGTTAACAGAAACTGCATTAATGCCCTCAAACTGAGGTAATCTCTTTTATTCTTTAAAATCCAGTTTTAGATCTATTTTTCCAGCATGTCTCTAATGTCAGTGATAGTATTTTGCATCATTCTATTGCCTGAAGCTAAATGGGGAAGAGAGTTTTGGACTTGGGGACCTCACAGAGTCTCTTAGATAGCTCAGTAATTTGTGGGGCCCCAAGAGAAAAACAGCTGCTTGTGTCCTCAAAAAAAAGTTCGAGTCAAACAATTTTTCCTGAAAATGGCAAAAGTTAATCTATGTAACAAATGAAACAGGAGGCGTGCAGGACAGCCTTCAGGCTGAATTTGAAAAATGAAAATCTAAGACCTGGCCTCAGTAAAAGAGGCTTGGACAATTCACCTAAGGTAATTGCAGAATGCCTAGAAATGATGAAATGGAAGCCATCAACATCTACTTTTCTTGTTTTGGGAACAGTGGGCCACCCTGCAGACTGAGGAGGGAGTGAAAAAGCAGAAGGTGCTGGCACTTGAAAATTTAATCTCCACTGGTAAGATCTCTGAATGAAGGTGACACAACACTATTTGTCTTGTAAAAAGGCAACTATTTTAAAATCTTACCTAGAAAAGAGTAAACAAAAACATAAATTGCATCTGATGTTAAGTAAGAAAACTGAAATGGCTAAAATGGAGTTTGATGGGCAAATAACTGCTGAAGTTACAAACCTACAAAAGAGACCTTAAGCATGTTATAAGCAAGATAATCTGTGAATGATTGAGTTTGTTGAATAAGAGGTGTTAAAGACTAGTGTGAGTATAGAAAGACATTGCTGATAAGCAGTTGGGAAGCTCTCCCCGTTTTCATGAATATTTTATACTTTCTGACTCCATCTACTCGCTCTTTACAAGATTAGGAAGAATGAGTGTTCTTTGCCCTTGATACTGCTCTGTATAGATTCTCTCTTGCTTCTTGTAGCTCCTAGCATGCAAAAAGCCAGGCATCTCAAGTAAAAGAGCTACACCAACCCATGGATCACAGTTACAATTTGTGTTCTTCTCGAGGCATGGGGATAAAATCTGAGAGAGGGGTTTTTTTTTCTTCCCCTCAACTATTTTTCCTCTCTTCTTTGACCAAAGGGGACTGGGTTAAGTTCTCATAATGATCCTTGTACTTGTAGTGCCATTTTTAGTCACTAGTCATGTAGACTGCTTGGTTTGCAGCTAATGAATTTCAGGTCTGATTTCCTGGACGTTGAAGGTTTAGCTGAAGTGCAGTTAGAGGAAAGTTTTGTGATTCTCATCAGGGGGTGGTATGTTGATTAAGATAGATTAGATGTATTTTGAGTAATGCATATTTAGTGTCATCTAATACTTCCCCCTCCACCACCCCCCCCCCCAAAAAAAAAACCCCAACAACCCCCAAACCAAAAAAAACCCCACAAACAAACAAAAAACCCCAAACCAAACAGCCAAGCATTAGCTGGCATGAATCAATACAATTTTAGTCACTGTAACCAGCCAGGTGAGAATCTGGTCTGAGAGTGACCTCAGCAAACATCACTGAGACTTGCTGTGTGGCCATCCTATGAGGCATATATTTACAGATATGGAGCATGAATGTGTTGTCATTCTTCCAGCACAATGCTGCTGTGTTACACTCTATATATCTCAGGGGGAAAACTTTAGACACTTCAAAGTTTCTTGGTAGTGAAGTGACTCTTAAAGGAGAATGCATGATGGAAGAGAGAGGGCTCGGAGAAAAAAATACCAGAGGAAGGTGTTTTTTACAGCTGGGAAAAAGGAAAATTGATCAACAGCAGCGAGAACAATAACTATACAAACAATGCCTGAATTTGAATCAAGGCACCAGGAGGTGCCTGCAATTTTGGCAGTGCGCTGGTTGACGTTTCCGGGTTTGTGTACATACGTTGTTTGGTAAATGACAGTGAAGGAGGTGTTGTGCTCAAGGTTTTAATTGCAGCTTGCTCTGAATGCTTTTCCCCTTTCTTCAACAATTTAGTGGTGTTATATGGCATAGGATTAGAGAATTAACTTGTGGAACTAAATGCCAGTATGTAAATGAGGTATAACAATGCAATTATGCTGCTTGGAGTAGGAGGAGGGCTATTTCTAAAAAGTACGTGTACTTTACTGGTTTTTTTTTGAATCCATATTGTCCATTCCACCATGTGGAAGGAACACTCATTTCCTCATGCAGGCATCATCCAGAGAGAGGAAACCTCCATGGAACAGGAGATTGCTGGCCAGCGCCCAGGACACTTCAGCTTTGCTGATGTTATGTATTTCTCCAAGAAGGGGTGTGAAGCAGTTGCAGAAGATGAAGTCACCCGACGGTTCTCCTCTGAGGAGCTGGTATCCTGGAATCTCCTCAGCAGAACCAATGCCAACTTGCACCATGTCAACTGGCAACTGACTGTTGTGTGGGTCATTGGGATCCTCGTTCGGTATTGTCTCCTGATGCCTTTTCGGTGAGCCAGATGTAATTTGCTGGGATCTGTTTTTCATGTTACTTTTTACAAAGTTTATTGACTAGTGCAGAAAGGAGAACCCGGCATGACTTTGTTTTCCAAGTTGCTCTTGGGGAGATTCCAATTGGACATGAGGGAAATTTTTCACAATGAGAACAGTCAACTATTGGAATAATCTCCCCAGGGGAGTGGTTGACTCCGGGCCCTTTTAAGACTCAGCTGGACAGCGTGCTGGGCCATCTTGTCTAGACTGTGCTCTTACCTAGAAAGGTTGGACCAGATGATCCTTGGGGCCCCTTCTAATCTGGTATTCTATGATCTCTAAAAGGAAAAAAAAAAAAGGTCCCAAAGATATAAATTTCTCATGTTCTATATGTTTTATTAGTAATTTAATTTGTTTTTAAAATCCAACAAAACTTTATAGAAATGATCTGGAGATCTTTTTGTCATGTAAAGTAACAACTGTTTCAACTGAAAGGATCAGGCTCTACCTTTCTAAGAGTCAGGGAGACTGTGTGCTGAACATTTGGGATATGAAGCAAAGCCAATGTTCAGGGAGCACAGGGCTGGATGGAAAAAAAAAGTCGTCATCCAGCTGGAATGTATTAAATTTTCAGACTTTTAAAATTTTCTGTTGAGCAAACCTAGCCTTTATCATATTGACAAAACAGTTATAAATATTCATGCATTCTTGTAAAAAGCAGGACTTTTAAAATTTCTTATTCCTTTGATGGGATAACAGTATATTTAAAACATAGTTGCAGTGCATAGAGGGATTTTATAGCAGTCAATCACATAGCAGAGCACATATGCCATGTGTAAACTTACATATGCAGCTTAAGATGACAACATTTTGTGTAGAAATGGCTTCAATATTGGTTTTGCTCAGCCATTAGTAACCAGTGACATTTAATTTTCATTATTATATAGTTGCTTAGTGCTTGGGGTGGAAGTACATACTGAGATTTCTGGATAGGTTTTTAAGAATTAGACGATGAGTCCCTTTTGGGACTGAGAAATCTCACCTGCATTAAAAAACACTGGCCAGTACTCACTGTCCTCTTTGAGCACAATGGCTTCTTTACCATGTGACAACTTCAGATCAGGGCATGTTGCTTTTTGGAAGATAGGCTCCCGGCAGCACGATGTTTTGTACTCAGTGCAGGGTTCATTGAGTGAAAACGTGCTTGTATTATCCTGTTTGCCTTAACCGATTTGTATTGTTAGTTAGATGCTATTAATGGTGGAGGGAGGCACTGTGAAATGGATCAAATGATTAAATAAAATACTTGCTTGCTTGCTCTTTCAGTTTTGCTTCTTAGCATTTAATGAAGATTATTTTACTTCGTAGCATCTGCTTGGCTGTTTTCAGCATCCTCTTGCTTGTCTTGGCCACTACGGTAGTAGGACAGTTTCCAAATGGCAGGTACGTGTTTGCTGAGGGCTATTTCCTGTTCTTTATTTCTTTAAGGATTTGGATTAGTGTGTTGGAACATAAATCTGCTTGAGTCTGGAGGATTAACGTGGACTATTGTGAGGTGACTTTTTCTCTACTGTAAACTCATAGAGCACTATCAGAGAGTATGGCGATGGCATCTGAAAGTGGACATGCAATGTAAGCCAGATAGGTACTGCTGGAAGCGTATCTTAGAGTGGAAAATAGAGTATGCTCTACTTGACTCAGAATAGGGCAAGTAAATCATCTGTCCTGATCGATTCCCTATTAATACTGTGAGATTGTTATGTCATGTCAGTGCAAACAGACTCAAACATGATTCACCAGCTAAATATTTTTATATTAAATTAATGTTAATGAATGAGTTACTTCCAGAGAAAATCTATAAAACAAACCCCTGACTATTATCTTCTCTGCTTTGAATGTGGTGGGTTTAGAACAGATTACAGTAGAACAATGGAACTAGAATATTTTTGATGCCTGATAAACTCCTCCTGCGTGGCATTGTTAGTGTAATGAATCTTACTAGTATGGTCTTTGTAAGAACAGCTACTGGGAATAATTTGGAGAGTTTATGTTGCATTGTTCTGTGAGTGATTGTATAGAACTGGAAATGTATGTATGGCTTCATTTCTTTTAGAGTTAAATGCTGGCTGAGCAATCAGGTTCAGATGATATGTGCCACGTTAGGTATCCGATGTCTGAGTGGTGTTGTTCATTTCCACAACAGGTGAGTGGTGCCACCCTGCTCTCCTTGGCTTGGTATTGATTTCTTACAGTACTCAATACCTCAAGTTTCAGAGCGGGATTCTTGCTTCCTTGCTGCATGGATTTTGTGATGGGGCAATTTGACTCAAGAAGCTATTTGGATCTTCTGGACTCTGTCAAGATGTTTGCATGCCCTACTGTGTTTTCTATTGTGTATTGGCAGGGTATGCAAAGGTGAAGCAGTACTGTGTTCTTGGTTAGATATACACTTAGACATTTTTCTCAATGTTTGCAATGAATGTGTTATAATCACACTCAAGAATGTCGCCATAGAATGTTCAGCTGTTCTATTAGCTGATTTGCTTGGTAACTAATTCTTCATGCTCTTTTATGAAGTAAGTTATGGATAGTATTTCAGTAAGTTTTTGTACTGTCTTAATATCTTGCTTGCTTAGTGGTGGAGCTCTATGGAATGGAGGCTTCTGAAATATTTTTTTTGGTTTGTGCTTTAGAAAACAAGCAAAATCATACTCTACTGTCTTTGCCGTTAGAGTTTTAATGTCCAAATATTCTTTGATACATGCCTCTGTGAATGAAAATGCATGCAGCTAAAATGCCTACTCCAATGAAATCTTGTATTCGCAGTTAAAAGGAAACTGGTTTTGGTGAAATACCAAAACTACTGAAATGTGAAGGGACTGTTGAAAGTATGAGGAAAGATGACTTATCTGTTGTAATGTACTGCCAGAAGTTTTAACATATATCATGGTAATATTAGTATTTTTAAATGTTTTGTGTTCTTCCACTTTCTATGGATCTGCAGATAACCTGTGTGCCTGAAATGCTTTTGTCACTGAGTGTCTCAATTGTGGATGTGTGCTCACTGGATGGGCTACCTGATGGGGCCTGCAGTCTGGAGAATAAACATTAAGTAATTACTTTTACGGTTGTCATTGCAGGGAAAACAGACCGCAGGAAGGAGGCATCTGTGTAGCTAACCACACGTCTCCATTAGATGTTCTAATCCTGGCCAGTGATGCATGCTATTCCTTGGTATGAACAAGAGAGTTGGTAAATACTGGTAATGTTGCGATGCCCGCAGATGTAGTGTTGGGTAAGAGGATAAACTTACTGGTAGAAAGAGTGAGATTTGATAGCATTCAGACTTGTGTTCAGGACTGCAAAGTAATAGACACAGGTAGGTGTGTGCACACTTTGATGAAGAGGATTGGTATAATTGGTGAACAAGCTTAGAAACTGATGCATCTGTGTTCAGAATTTTATCATTTAAGTGTGTGTGTGTGTGTTTGCATAATAACTGTTTTCTTTTGGGCTTGCAGGTTGGCCAGGTACACGGAGGGCTTCTGGGACTTATTCAAAAATCTTGCATGCAAACCAGTCAGCATGTTTTGTTTGAACGCTCAGAACTGAAAGACCGTCATCTGGTGAGGAAAAAGTAAGGTAGTGAGTTGTTTGGTTAATTGTCCCATCAGGTCTAGTAATTGTGAGGTCCAAGCGTGAGTTGAGACTGTTCTCGCCCTGCATCTCTCTTTGGTGGGCAGCTGTAGCTTGTCATCAGTGTAAGGTTTGGAACTGCTCCATCAATGGAAGGTGCAGGGTGTAGCAATCATCTACTGAACTTTTGAGCATTTGTCCTGTAACCTCTGGGAATTTCCACATTGCCACCATCACCCTGACAGGGTGGTGGTGTCCCTGCTCAATGCAGGGTTGGACTAGATGACCTCTAGGGGTCCCTTCCAACCCAAAACATTTTATGATTCTATAATTCTAAGGTCCCCCCATGCTGGATCATTCCCTCCTTTTTTTGGTATCTGATGTTTTTGTTTTGTTTTGTTTTTTAATGTGGACTGGAGAGGAACTGCATGTTCTTGAGTTATAGGAAAGACAGGTGTCTTGGAAAACAACAGATTTTGTGTGTCAGTAATCCACTTAGCAGTAATCCATTTGTTTTTAAGTGATGCAGCAAATGTTGCAAAATAGTGGTCTATCTCTTAACTAGATGAGGAACTAATGATAAAACTGATGTTACGACCCTAGAAGACATGAAAACTTGAAATATGGAATATGCTTCAGTCAAAAGAAAAGTTTGACTGTTCATTGCTGGAACCTGTCAAAAATAAATGGGAAGTGATTTTTACATGCTTCAAGTACCACCATTCTGTGGCTTCGTGCTAATTGGGTTAAAATGGTGAAATAAAACTGCATACAGTTTTGTAGAAAACCTACTTTTGCAATTAGCAAGAGAGAAGCTCTGAAACAAAGGCCTGAAACCAGCACACATGTCAGCAAAGGGCAACCAGGCAAGGGCTTTTCTTGTCCTATGTAAGAGTTAATGGATGTTTAGATTATTGGCCAAATACAAATATGAAGTATACGCTGAAATTTTATTTTCTCTCCACAGAATTAGAGAACACATTGCAGATAAGGCCAAATTACCCATTTTAATTTTCCCAGAAGGTAGGAAACTACTGTATTGATTTTATTGCTTTTCTCACTTCTTGCCACTGAGTGCAGTTTATTATACCCAGTCTTTACAAGTGAGGTGTTTGGTTTTAGTCTGTAGAATTAATTAGCTCTTGTGAAATCTTAAAAGTCAGATTCTAGTATTTTACAATAATTTTATGACAGTCTTATTTGCTTTAGCATATAGCATAATGGAAGAGAGAACATCTGGGATTATGTTCCAGAGCTAAAGCTTACTTTCTCCTTTAGCAACTTAAGTCTCCTTAAGACAGTTTAGGATTCATTTGCTGATACTTTACTTAGAGTGGATTAAACTCTTCATCTGTATTAATTCTGGCCAGGTACCTGCATAAACAACACATCAGTAATGATGTTTAAGAAGGGAAGCTTTGAGGTAGGAGGGACCATCCATCCCGTAGCAATCAAGGTAATGTATCTGCAGTTTTCCAAAAGTGGAAGGATTATTTGCAGAAGCTTTTTGTGTTAGAGAAGCTGTTCACATGTAAACTTTAAAAAGGGGTTTGTTCTGCATGAATAAGGTACTGAATAAACCCTGAGAAAATGAAATCTTCTCATGGTGTGCAGTGTCTTGCAGTTCAGTGCAGTATGGGAAATGTTTCACTGAGTATCTTTACAGCTGGCTAGGAGCAACCTGAAAAGCACAGTTGCGACTGCTATGCTGTGTGTTCAGTTCTGCCTGCTCTTTCTGTCCTAGGGCTCCTGGCTCTTGTGTGCTCTAGGGATAAAGGCACTTCTCTTGGCACTTCCAAAGCTTTCTGAGTAGCTTTAGCCAAGCCACCCTAGCTCTAGATACGTTAGTTACTTTTTCTGGAACTATAGTGTTGCCTAATCTTAGGGAAATGTTTAAACTGGTGTGAGTGTTTTCAAGGAAACCTTTGTAGTCAACATGTCTGTAGATGACAAATCTTTACATTTTGAGTAGAACTCTGTTGTAGTTGAGATGTGTTTCAATGGCTCTGTCACAGTTTGGGGTCTTACTTTGCTTGTAAAAGTTAACTGTTATAAACTTGTAATAAATGTTGAAACGTGGAGCTTTACTCTGAATTTACTCCTGCTTTTAGGAGGTGTGATTGGATTTGCCCCTGATTTAACAAGCTGGACTGTGACTTCATGGCCAAAAAAGAGCAGCTTACATGATTTAAACTAAGGTAGCAGATCATGCCCTTTCGCTTGTTCTTCTTGTCTTCCAGTATGACCCCCGCTTTGGAGATGCGTTCTGGAACAGCACAAAGTATTCCATTATGACCTATATTTTTAACGTGTTGACCAGCTGGGCTATTGTCTGTAACGTGTGGTACCTGCCACCGATGGTCAAAGAGGTACTTACGCTTTCGTATGTTTTGAAAATGCTTGTAGAATGTTGCCTGGGAGGAAGTCTGCATTACTGCGTGCGGTGTGTTGGCATTATGTTTGCAAATCTTTACTGACGACTTAGTGGACAAAGGCCAGAAAGCAATGCTGTAGTCTTTAAATTAAGTGAGCACGGATTTACGTGGGTTAATTACCTTCAAGTAATAACTACTCTTCAGATATTCAGACATTTCTGTACTATGCTCCCTATTGCTCCCAAACAGCTTCTTTATTTGGGTGCAGCTGCCTTGCTTTCCTCTGGCCCCAGCAGTTAAAATGTGGGTTTATGCTGCAGGTGTCCTGCACCTCAGCCTGGCACAGGGTGTCCCTTTTTTACTCCAGAGGTGATATGTAGATTCAGGCCTTCTCTTCACACCATACTGCGGTGCTTCTGCCTTCTGTGTCCCCTCTCTACCTCCATCTGCACAGCTTCCTCCCACCTCCTTGTTTCTCAGCCCTGCAGAATATCTAGCTAATCCTTTGTCCAGCAACCTTACCCCACAACTTGGCATGGCCTCTCAGCCCACTGCTGCCGGATACTGACCTGACACTGACAAAGTGGTCGACGTCTTTGCTCCAGCAGTGTCCCGGTTTGGCACTGCCTACCCTGGTCTTTGCTCAGTCCTAGTCTTGGCAGGGAAGCTGCTGCAATGCATGTATCTTCCATCCTCTGCAGCTGAGGTAAACAGACTCTGGTGAACTCAATAATTTGCTGATCCTGAATGCACCAGGCCCCAACCCTGTTCAAGGCACCCCATCTCCTCCAAGGGTGATCCTGTCAGTGTGTTCCCAGCTTCAGTCTGGTACTGAAGTACTGGGAGCAGATGCATCCCCTGCTCTGGCCATACCTGTGACCTCAGGATGTGAGTTGTTTGAGATTGCTCCAGAAACCACAGAGCCTCCCACTTAGTTCTTTTCAGTGCCGAATGATGGCAAACCAGGCAGCGTTCCCCAGGACCAACTGGAACTGCCCTGCAGGTCACATTTGGCTTGTGGGCCTGGCATAAACCCAAGTGCCTGCTGTCTGACAAAACATATCTCTAAGAGAGATGTGGAATATGTAAGTTGCAAAGCAAATAATTTGTGTATTTTTTCAGGAAGAAGAAGATGCTGTTCACTTTGCCAACAGAGTCAAGGCTGTCATTGCTGCTCAGGGAGGAATGTCTGTGCTTCCTTGGTAAGAAGCAACTCCTTTGAGGTTGCTGTAAATAAAACGCATTTGGGCATTCTGTATTCTGAACCATTAGCCTGGAATCTTTTAAAACTTCTTCCAAATTTGCTTTGCTTAGGCGGTAGTCCATCACCCTTACTGACTCTGAGTCAGAAAATATTACTTTATTCCTTGAACTGTTCCACTAGACTAAATAGACCAATATAGTATAAAAAGAGAAACAGAGCTGACAGTTGGATCTAGCCAGCAGGTGGTATTTGGTGAAAATAAATTATTTGCCTGTTAAATGTTGGATTAAAGGAAAGGCATTGTTTGTGTTCTGTGGTAAGTCTTGGCAGTACAGATCATTTAGCATTGTATTGGAAAAGCCAACATTTAGGGTGAAAACTGCTTTGACTACATAGTCTAAATATTGTACTGTTTTTCTGCCTTGACCCTGAAGTGAGCTCAAGGCTGTTTCTTTTCTGTATCTTTCAGGGATGGGGGACTGAAAAGGAAAAAGGTCAAAGAGTCTTTCAAGGAAGAACAACAGAAAAAATATTGCCAGATAATAATAGAAAATGGATCTGTGGGAAATGGAAATGTTTGTTAGATGGTATTTATTTTATCTTATTTTCCCATGACTTATCTCCACCAGAAAATGGGCTATTTTTTATATTAAAACTGACATATTTTTATTCTGTCCCTGTAAGATGTTTTGCATGTGACACAGCAGGAAAACCATAGAGAGATAGTATTTTATATTAAATAAGGATATCATTTTATAAATAGGAAGATTTACAACATAGTAGTAAAATTCTCTCTGATGTTGAGTGAGAAGAATCTTCAATAAAATTAACTTAGGTACATTGAAACGCTGTTTTTTTAAAATCTTTGTGTTACCCTGAAGACTTAAATGGCAACTGGTAATAAAACACCTGCGTACTCCTAGCCTCTATCAATGACTAGGACTAAGCAATCTTCCTGTGAGCCACAGTCACGGTGTTGCTGTAGAGATAGATCTCCTGATGTCAGAAGATACCAAGTGGTTCACTAAAATTTGTTTTCCAGATTTGCAAATTCCCCTCCATGTCATGAGACAAGGGGACCAGGGATGGCAATGTAGGAAGCTTTCCAGGGTCCCACTGACAAACAGCAGGACCATGTCCAGGGCAGCGTGTCCCTCTTGCCTGGGTGTGTGATGCTGGGATAAATTAGTCACAGCCAAGGACACTGTTGTAGAAAAATGTATTTTTAAATTATATTGTCTTCTGATTTTGTTATATCCTTTTCTGTGTCTGTTTGTATGCATTACACAAATTAAAGAAAACCTATGACATGACCTCTGTTATCCTCTGTTGGAATTATATCTGGATAGCCACCTGCTTGTGTTACCGCTTGGTGTGAAGGCTACTGATTTGCTCTCTGACAAGCCCACCCTCCAGAAACAAACAGAGCAAATGTGCTTAAGGAATCTGAGGTGGAAATATTTCCATCATTTATAGTATTTCTTTGTATAAAATATTTGCTCTCCTGTTAAGTAGCTCCCACATGGAAGAATCTGGCTTCTTTAATGATCTGAACGTCACTAATGAAGCAGACACGAATAGGTGTTATTTTGCCCAAGTTGCTTTAAGACAGATGAGTTGCAAGGACAGTTAATAAGGTTTACGTGACAGCAGCCCATTCAGGTCTCAGCAGAGATGGAGGACCTGTCTGTGGCCAGCACAAATACACCCTGCCAGGAGGGCAGGGGTGCAGATAGAACGCTGCCCAGCCCTGGAGCGTATAGAAAACTCCCATTCAGGGGAGGGGGTAACGCAGGTGATAACTGCCCTGAGGCTGCATTGCACAGAAGTAGCACAGAACCGAGCCCTCTTCTTCTGTGGCCAGGCCTGGTGTATCATCCCTGGATTTAGTTGCTACAGGTATGTGAATTCTCTTGGTGGATCAGTCAGTACAAATTTTGGTGTCATAGGTAAGCCCTTTTAAACAGCTATTGGCCACCCAGGTAGGGAGGGTGCCAGCAGTACATCTACAGAGGAAAATTGCTTCAGGCTCTCCTATTGTGAAAGAGGTCTGCTTGCTCCTGGCTGTAGTAAGTTGTGCTTCCATGTTTGTTGAAGCTATTTATTTAGTTCCTAAGTATAAAGATCTGAAGAAATGTGACAGACTATCCAGATAACTGTTAAATCTCTTCAGTGTGACAGAGTTTAAAATTGGGAGTTTTTCCTTCTTTGACTGACGTCTGAGGGTCATGAACAGAGAGTGCAGTAGTATGCAAGGGGTTAAGACAAGTGTTGGGAGCATCCTTCCCACACTACTTTGTGCCTTGTTCCTGCTCAGAGGTAAAAGGGGAGACAGAACAGACAAAAAGAAGGGCCGGAGAGAGGAAAAGACGGGAAGATAAAGAAGAACTGTTGGAATGGAAATTTTCTCATTTGAGTTCCGCTTCTGTAAGACGTTAGGAGATTTTGTGCCTTTTCTGCTGTCCTGCAACGCTTCCTCAGCTCACCAAAAGAAGAACCCTTGCATGTGTGATCCTCATTATGGGTAAGACTCAAAGCTATGTAAAAGTATAGCTCAGACCTCTGAATGTATTGCGTGTCACCCGTTGAGCTGTGGGAGGGAGCGGTGGGGTTGTTTATACTTTCTCTGCCAGTTTTTGGCTGTCTTGACAAAAGAAGCTAAACCCTCTGTGAAGTAGGTACTTACATATAGAATAGGGAGATTTAAAGCAAACAATGAACCCACCAAATTTTCAATGAAGAGAAGGGGGTGTGCTTTGTTAGCTGCCTTTAAAAATGCCAACCTGACTTGAAATAGAGACTGCTTTGTGTTGCCTTGCTTTAAAGAAATGTTTCTGGGTTTTGGTGGTGCTTTCTTTACCTACCTTCCATCTCCCCCTTTCCTTTCTCTTGAATGCTGTATTTCATTTGCATTTATCAGCAGCGGCCTTGGCAATTGTTTTTAGCTGAAATTGCACGCTGCCCTTAGAGTGCTGAGGTTGTGGAGGAATTGATTGTTTCCCAAAAGGACACCACAGATAAGTGTTGCCTTCCTCCTCTGGGATGGTAAAAAGAACACATTCTTATGATAACACGTGAGTGGGAAGCTGGTAAACTGCAGCCTGTTTTTCACAATCAAAGAACTCGGACTTGTGTGACTCACTCCTCCTCTTCACTTATCTCCCACTGGTCGTGCAGGAACCAGGCTTCTAAACTGCCTGAACTCCTCTTTTACTCCATACCTTTGCAGGATCAAATGTAGCATGGTCTTGTGCTAATTTGTGCCAAGTGATAGGCTTAGATGGAAGAGAATAAATATTTCGGTGCATCAGGCACTCAAAACAAATAGAACTGTTAGTGTAAGGAATGTTATTCGTTTGTTTATTTGCGAGCTGTAAGAGCTACATAGACAAGTTGTATCATCATCTTGGAGAAGCCTGTGGCTCCATCTTCCTCAAGAGCACAAATTTCCTCTGCTGTTTACCATTTAATGTATTTGCCTTTCAGCTCCTTACCCAACAAACCTTACACTTTTAAGTGGCTGGGCGGCTGCTTCTCCAAATAAAATATGATACAGCTAATCAGCATAGGGAAGACCTGCATTGTAGCCTTGCTTTGTAATTTGGTGCTGCTGGCTAATACCTATGTATGAAGCACCAAAGTGATGCTGTTACCCAAAATTAATGCTGCCGTAGAATGTCCATTGTAAAGCCCTACCCTATCTATGCTTTTGTTTAGTTAATAGATTGCTCAGGTAATTGAAAAGGAGACAAGCTGATGTATTATTGTCTTGATTAGTAAACCACGAAGAGTCGCTTAACGTGTGCCAAGGACAAAAACTAGGGGAAAGGTAATTTGGGCAAGGGGAGATCGCAACCACTGACTCAAATGGAAGCTAAAAGAAACTATGCCCTCCTGCCCCTTGAGCATGTGTGGTAAATCGGATGGTAGCTTCAAGTGCAAGCGAAGAAATTACGAACCAATGAGAGACAGGTATGATTAGCTAATGATTATTAATTAGATATGTTAATTGTAGTGTATAAAAGTTAGAGAAAAGTGTGCTACCTTTGTGGGAGGTCACCTAGCACCCAAAATTGCGCAATTTTGTGAATAAACAATCTCTCGTCTCCGTGTGTGAAGACTGGCTTATTGCACACTGGGTTAACAAACCCGATTTGGGACAACGATAGAAGGTGTTGCTGTGGCACTCATGCATCGTGTTGAAACTGAAACCAAACCAAAGCTGTCCTGAATGCATTCATCCCAAACTTCTGAGATGCCTAAGACAGTGGGCCATGAGTTGAAAATACATGTATGTTGGAATGAGTGAAGAAAATGAGGCCTTCTTGCTGTGTGGGTGAGTCAGAGACAGAGTCAAAGTAGCTGCTTATGCTAACTTTTGAAGACATCACCGTCTGATCAGCTGTGTGGATGGAGAACCAGATATATTTAATAAACTCCACCTTTAGGTCCTTAGTAAAACTCATGCAGCACGCCCCAGGTGCAGTGCAGAATGTTTGTATACAGCGTGGGTCCTGGGGTGGCCCAGGACCTTAAGTCACTTGGGCGCTATCCTGCTTCTGCACTGGGCTGGAGCTGTGTCCCCTATATTTAGGGTCCTGAAGCTTTGAGTAAGTAAGGGCAACTCTCAGAATCCCATAAAGGCCGGGTCACTGTGTCTAACGTGCCTCCCCTTCCCCAGGAAGGCTTCCAAAATCAGCTTGAGAAGGAGTCCTCTGAAAGCAGCTTTTTGGATATTCGCACTGCTGTTACATAAGTCGTCCTTGGTTGGGAGTAGAACGTGTAAGGATGATTTATGCTTTGACCCCTTTAAACTGAATGTGCAGACTGAAATAGCTTCAACATCTGGCTCATATTTCTGGGTTCTCATCTCTGGATTAAGAAGAGTTTATTTGGACACTGCCACGATTCATGTTTGAAGTATTTTGCGCTGCTCTGCTACAAGGGTAAGGTAACCTGCAACAGGTTGTAACTATGCAGCATTAAAGCAGTGTAAGGTGAGTTTCTGTATAAATGGCCGTCATTGCCTTAACGTATTTGAGCCAGTTTTTTAGAGGGGTTCTCTAAATTTCCTGGGCCTCCAAGAATGTATGTGACTCAAATACAAGATGGGACCTGAAGTTTTGAGACCTCTTTTTATATATATAAATATACTTTATTTTTTTTTCTCTCTCTCTGTGGGTGTATATATATACACGCTTTGTACCTATATAAAGGGATTCCTGAATGCCTACTGTCTATTAGGACAATAGCGTGGACATGAGAAACATTAGTTAATTTTAACAATAGAAAGGTTATGGATTATTAGAAGATGTAGTGATAAGCAACTTAGCGACCTCTTGTACTCTGTGAGAAATGAATCAGTGTTTGCTAAAACGTGTAATAATATTCCACTGTAACGTACCTGCATGCTAAGACAGATTGATGTAGCTAGAGTCCTGTATTCTCTTGACTCCAAACGTCTTTTCTAGACCCCTGCTGACCTCCTCTACATTACTGGGAGACACCTTTTTTTTTCCCGACTCGCCGTTTTAAGATGTGTTTCAGTAATTGGACAGCCATGTATTACAAGAAACGCGCCAAAGTTGCCATCTAGTGGCAGCTAGCTAGCGGTAGCAAACTCCCTTGCACAGCCTTCCCAACCTTTCATGTCATACAGAGTTGCCCTAAGTTCCGATGAATGAGCCTGTTACTGCTCCTACATTTCCAGGAAACCATGAAAACGAAGAAATAACTCTGCATAGCCCAAACACCAGATCATGGTGTGCTGCCAGCAAAGCTTGTGCTTGTTCTAAGTTTCAGCAGCCTGTGTTGTGTGGGGTTTTCCCAGGCCATCTCTTCCCTGTGACAAACCAAAATCAGAAATACTTCTGTCCTTTAGTTGCTTCAAAATCAGGTATGGGTCTCACCCCTGAGCTTTTATTTGTATTTTAAAATTCAGTAGAGGTGGCGAGCCCGGGATGTTCCTGAAGGCAGTATGACACTAATTTGCTGTGTTGAGTTTCTTCAGTACCTTGATGCAGTTTGCTCCTGATCTATGACTGGGG